ATCCCGCCAAGTGCTAGGGTTTCATTCAGAGCACAGTCAACTGGACGAGTCTGGGCTCTAGTTTGCCATGGTACAGGACTTGGACCAGGGTATGCGACACCATTGTTTAAGCGAGAGCGAGCAGGTGCGGGGTTCTTGTGATATAAACTGGACGGATGCGCTGGGATAATTACTCAGTATTTGCTCTCAAAGACCGTTATCGCAAGTTAATCTCTAGTATTGAGTGTGTGATGTTCTTGCAGAATGGCCGTTATCCAGAGATTCCCCGCCGGCCCTTTATCGGATGTACCCGCCTTAGGGCTACTTGTTGTAGTCGTAAGTGTTCACATATCTCAGCAGGAACTCGGACTCCCTACCTAATCATCACCGAACCGCACAGATATCTGTACCCTTGATCGGCATTGTTCTCTACAACGTGTTCTTCCACCCGCTAGCCCAGTACCCGGGCCCCAGGTCCATGGCCGCCTCCCGGATCCCGTACCTACTGATGACACTCCGGGGTCGACCCCCGCAGGAGATGAACGCACTGCACAAGCGATACGGGCACGTAGTCCGCGTCGCGCCCAACGAGCTCTCCTTCATCAGCAGCGACGCCTGGAGGCCCATCTACGGTACGCGCCCGGGCCACGGCCAGAAGCCCAAAGACCGTCACGCGTACCCGCCCTCCGCGGACAACGTCCCTAGCATCGACCAGTCCAACGACGCAGACCACAGCCGCTTCCGGCGCCTGCTCTCACATGCCTTCTCCGACACTGCCCTCCGTGGCCAGGAGCCCATCATCCGGGGCTACGTCGAGCTGCTCATGCAGCGGCTGCGCGAGCACGCCCGACATGCCCAAACCCCGCTGGACATGGTAGCCTGGTACAACTTCTGCACCTTTGACATCATCGGCGACCTGGCCTTCGGCGAGCCCTTCGACTGCCTCCGCAACGCGGCCTACCACGACTGGGTGCGGTTGATCTTCAGCTCCGTCAAGGTGGCCTCGTACCTCAACGTCGCGCGCCGGCTGCCGGGCACGCAGTACCTCGTGCGCGCGATCACCCCGAGACGGGTCCTCGAGCAGCAGAGGTGGCACGTGCAGCTGACGGCCCAGAAGGTGCAGGCCCGGTTGAACATGACGAACGAGCGCCCGGACTTCTTCGCCAGTATCCTCAAGCACCAGGGCAACTCGGAAAAGGGGATCAGTGTTCCCGAGATGATCGCCAACGCAAGCACCCTCATCATCGCCGGGTCGGAAACAACCGCCACCTTGCTGTCCGGCGTGACTTTCCTGCTGTTGAAGAATCCCCGCGTGATGGACAAGCTCCAGCAGGAGGTTCGGTCCGCCTTTGCGACAGAGGAGGAGATCACGCTGGACTCCGTCAATCGTCTGCATTACTGTCTGGCGGTGCTGACGGAGGGGTTGCGCCTGTTTCCACCGGTGGGGGTGGGGCTGCCGCGCGTGGTGGATCCGCAGGGCGATGTCATATCTGGGGGTTGGGTCCCTGGAGGGGTCAGTACATTTATCCAGGAGAAGAGTGCTGAGTCGTGGACCCGAAACGTATTTAACCGTCTCAGACGAGTGTCTCCATCCCGCACTACGCCGCCTACCGGTCTCCGGCCAACTTCACCGACCCGGATGCATTCGTCCCCGAGCGCCACCTCGGCGACCCTCGATACGCCGCCGATGACCGAGACGTGCTGCAGCCGTTCAGCTTTGGGCCCCGCAACTGCATTGGCCGCAAGTATGTGGCCCCACCGATTGCCTGTTTGCTGACATTATTGACATGGTGGTTTACTCAGCTTGGCATATGTCGAGATGCGCATCATTCTGGCCCGCATGATTTTCAATTTCGATATGGAACTAGAGGATACGGAGTCGGATTGGCTCGATCAGGAATGTCATCTGTTGTGGGATAAGTCCGCATTGATGGTGAAACTCAAGCCGAGGGGATTGGTGCAGTGAGCTGGGCATTGTTCTTTGCTCGAAGCGTGGAGTGGGTTTTGGTGGCGAGACGATGCAGGCAGTGTGAAACCAGGGACTGGGTGTGAGATTGCGGTTCTTGTAGCATTCTGAAAGCATATTATCGATGAGACATGTTTAGGGGAACTCAATATGGGAAGAGTGAACGAACCGAGACAGAGCGGCTTTCGAAGGGCCGTCAGAACACGAGGATTGGTGCATTTGTGAGCCAAGCTCGTATTGAGCAGGCCTGCACGGCCACTGCTCCCTACGAGAGCATATAGCTTCATCTGGACTAATATCGAGGATGCCACTTGTCTCGTGATCCACTAGTTCGCTTTGCATAGCAGAGAAAGAGAGGCAACGATGAATGTTTGTCCGGGGCTCGGTGTAGATAGGCTTCGTTCAAAATCGTCCGCCGGGATTTCAGTGCAGTGCAGGGATGAGACGGTCCAAAGGCACAGGTGAGATGCTCACTCGGTGTGATATGAGGGAACAATTGGTCTCCTTTGTCGGCAAGAAACAGGTAGCCGTAAATTGCGGGTGAGTTTGACTAAGATTGCAGATCAAGGCCTCTTATATTCGGGGGTAGGGTCAATCGGTCCACTATCATTACCTACCGGTCTTCAGACCGACTCTAATATCCCTTTGTCATAGCTTATCTATCGTGACGTAAACAAGACACTGACATTGTTTGTATGTCATCGCCCAGCGAGAAGATCCTCATGTCCCTTCTAAAATGAAGAAGACTTACTTTACTTATGTTCAGCCATGGCTGAGCAGTTCACTCGCCAAAAGCAGGGTCCATCGAAAAACATGCCACATCGCAACGTTTGCATCTAGATTCAGCAGCACACGTTGATGTCGAAGAATTAGGGGCCCAGGAAGAGGCTGTCATGATCATGATGAGAGCCTTCTTGCCGTGTCGCCTTAGGAGAAATATCGGTGGCATGAATCTAAAGCCCCAAGCGAGTTGGTGGTTTATCAGCACCTTTCGACCAAGACAGCACATCATGTTTCACAACCTATCGCAAGCGCGGTGAAAACCCTCTGTCACAGGTTGACATACCGTGATTTTGTGACCACATAGACATTGATGAGGAGGAGCAAAGCTCCGCCGAGATCATCTCCCTGACTCAATGGTCCGACAGATGCCACCACGACAGCATGGAACTCAGATCAAAGAAGCGTAAATGAAGAATGTACCCGGTAAAAATCCTTTCATTGTGGTGCTGCAATAGAATCGCGAGCGGGCCCGTGATCACACAGCATGGAGCAGAAGGGCATTCTCACACCGCCGCGACAGGCTAGCTGACGTTAGCGAGAACATTGCCTCGACCTCTAAAGCCGTTCCTTCAAATCAAGAGTCTCTCCACCCAGGCCTAGTCGTAGCGGGGATAGCTCGTGAACGCCTCCGTTCGATTTTTGAGACGTAGGGTGTGAATCTATAGATTAACGGCTCGTCTAGCTCGGTATTTGAGGTTTAAATTGTGGCTCATTTTGGACGGGAGAGAATGTGACGCGCGTCCTGCTCACTACAACAGCTTGATCAACCACACACACTCGCTTGATACTCCGGTTCTGCAATAGAGGATGAGTGGCAGACTGGCCTTCGCGTGCCATAGGCCGCGATGTACCGTGCGGCAAATTGACACAGTATAGGACCGAGCCATTCATTCTCCGTTAGCTGAGATTTGATTTTGCTATAACCCGATCCCCTCAAGTCAATTGGCCAGCTGAGAATCTGAAACCTGGCGAAGATGATGACTAAAGTGGAATCACTTGGTAAGGCTGCATGGAGGTCAACCAGTTGTGAAGGGCCAACGAGACGGGACTGCCTCAGGGTGTCAGGGCACACACAGTGGCACTGCCCTATTGGAGGGTCCCGTACTACCCACAGCACCGAGTTGGAGACTTAAAGGGAGAAAGTTCTACCGTGTTCAGCCGGGGACGACCCTGGCTTTCACGACCGGAGCAGGGTGGCATTGCCCCGAAGTAGCAAGGTGGAATCACAGGCGTCGTGGAACACGTTGGCTTTCCTCAGGGATTACGTAGGCCGGTAGATTATGAGGAGATCAGAGTTGTAATCTCGTCCGTTCCTGTAGACAGAGGCTGCAACATCTTATCTTGCACGTATGCTCGGCCTGTGCGGTCGTAGGGCGGACTTATTCTCAGAATCGAAGCTCAAAGAGGCTTAGTGAGACCCTAGTGGCCGGAGTTATGGTGTGAGGCCGAGTGGTTTCGTACGGGAGTACCCGGTCGGGCTGCTAGTGCCGAGCCCTACCGCGGGTCCCCGGGTCTGGTGCCTGCGTTGGGCAGCCAGTCCCGAGCGATCCTTGCCATTGCTGGCCTCAAGACCTCGCCTCGTCTCGCGTCAGGGTCAAGCGTGCACGACAGGCATAAGAGCCATTACCGAAGCCCAAACCCAAGCTCTGGGATTCTTGGATCTTTGGTTGGCTTCGTTCATGTTCATTGATAATGGATAAGCCAGACATTACTTGCCGACAATTGTGTTGATCACCTTTAGAAAAACTAAAGTGCTTCTCAAAGACGTATATCGAGTCAATGGTCCTGGAGACTTGTCTCTACACGTGTTGCAGCTCGCCTATTCACGCCCGTCTGCAAGTCTGGCCAGTGCCAAGGATCCGGTCCTCGAGGGGAGGCGTAACGACTATCAGGTGGATAAGGACAAAGGCGTGTCATTGGTCTCTCATCTTGGTATCTACGTATCCTCGCAATCAAAAGTTGACGTACCTCTGCCTAGTAGATTGTTAGCTGACAGGACGCTCACTAACAGGCTTTGGCAACGATCGTCAGTGATCATGCACGGAACGGCTGGTCAACAGCCGTGGTACACTAAATGCGAAACTCTAGTTGATCCAAATGCAACTTCGCGACGCAACCCTTGCCGGCGCAGTACAGCTGAGTAGACATCACAGCTGAGATCTTGCCTTGGTACAAAGATATAAAGAGTGGTAGGAATCTATCTTCGCTCACTCCCTTCATCAACCTCCCCTTCTTTCTCAATCGTCATCATCATCGGTCTAGTCTTTCCAGAATGACCGTCTCGATTCCGCGGGCCTTGGCCTCAGTGGTTCTGGGTGCTGCAGTCGCCCAAGCGCAACTCTGGGATGAAGTCATCCAGACAACCTACGGTCCAGTCCAGGGATATAAGTACTTCAACGAATCCACCCTGGAGACCTATTTTGGCATCTCCGAATCCAATGTGACGGCTTATCTGGACATTCCGTACGCCGCCGACACCGGCTACCAGAACCGCTAGAAGCCGCCCCAGCCCAGGGAGTCCTGGAGCACCACCTTGCAGGCCACGCACGGCGTTCGGGCCCGCGTGTCCCACCGGCGATACTTCGTACATTAGCGAAGACTGTCTGAGCTTGAACATCTGGACCAATGCCGGCACCGCAGACGCCAAGCTCCCCGTCATAGTGTGGAACCAGGGATCCGACGAGACGAGCGACAACCCGTGGTACTATGGAGGTGGAATGGCCTTGAAAGATGTGATCCTCATCAGTTTCAACCGCCGCGATGATGCCTTTGGATATCTGGCCCACCCCTAGCTCAACACCGAGGGTTTGCGCACAACAGGATACAACACGTCCGGCAACTACGGTGTGCTCGATCAACTCGAGGTTCTTAAATGGGTTCAGAAGAACATCGCCAACTTCGGAGGCGATCCGGATCGCGTAATTGTGGCTGGCCAATCGTTCGGTTCCTCGCAAATGTATCACGCGGTGAACAGTCCTCTTTTCACGGGCTACTTCCACGGTGGAATTTCCGAGTCGGGAATTCGATACCCCTATGACCCCCTTCTCGCCGGCCTCGCCACGTCGTATGCCAACATGTCCACCGCGATCTACTTCGGCGAAAGCTCTGTAGCAAGCCACAATGTCTCGACGATCGCCGAGCTACGCACCTTGTCCATGGAAGATCTTCTCGTTGGATCGCAGGATCGGGTCAACTAACTGGGTCACCGCCCTGTCTGCTGGCTATCTATTGATCTTCAAGCCGGTGCTCGATGGGTACGTGCTCCCGGAGAAGTACATCGACACTCTCCGCATCGGACCGGCCAACGACGTTCCCGTCATCACCGGCAACACAAAGGACGAGTCCGGGGCGGCCACCAGCACGGACTACACGGTAGCGCAGTATAAGAACTACACCTCGCTGAAGTACGGCGACCTCTACGACCGCTACATCAGGCTGTACCCGGACACGAACGGCACGCAGGACGAGTCGTGGAACGCGGCGGCGCGGGACGCCTCGCTGGTCGGCTCGTGGGCCTACGCCACCGAGTGGTACAAGGCCGCTTCCTCCTCGTTCTACACCTATTACTGGACCCATGCGCCCCCCGGCCAGGACCAGGGCGCCTTCCACCAGTCCGAGATCATGTACGCCCTCAACGCGCTCTACGCCAACGCGGATCGGTACCCCTTCAACGCCACCGACTACGCCATCCAGGAGAAGATGTCGGCCTACTGGGCCAATTTCGCTAAGACCCTTAACCCCAACCTCGGCGGCTCGTACACCGCCGGCTCCCTGCCCTACTGGAGCCCCAACAGCGCCAACGGCACCCAGGTCGTCATGGAGCTGGGCAATGCGTTCGAGAACGTGCCTATTGCGCACCCGGCTCAGGTGTCCTTGTTGATGGAGTGGTTCCATCGGCAGATTCCTTACTAGGACGATAGGACTGAGGGGTTGCTGGGATGGATGGTTGTTTAGGGTGGGGCGATCCTTTCTCTCGATCCTAGTGGTTTGCAGAGAGGCTTAGTGATGTATATTGAATCTTCTGACTATTTACACTCGTTTGACTTGACCTAATTCTGTTTGAAATGTATCTATTGTGGTTCTAGTAGTGGATTGTTGTCCTACTGTTTATCAGCCAAATATAGACTTTAGCTTTATTTGGAGATTCCATAGACTATCTTGAGGTATGTGCAAGATCCTCTGGGTGCAAGTTCAAAGAGCCCGTGCTTTTCAATAAGATGACGTTGCATATAAATATAAACCCATTCGGACACAACCATGAATAGCAAGACGAACGGTGACTATGACCTAGAGTCATCAGAGCAGGTGTACTCCGAGATGTCTTAGACAAGGCAGAGACGGGAAGGTAGGGTAGCCCGAATCACATGACTCGTCAAAGACCATTGCGAGCCGGGAAGGAGAGGGTGAGGCTTGATGTGGTGTGTGGGGCAAAGGTAACTTTGCAAGGTCGTAGACCGTTATCTGCTTCCCAACGCCAAAGCCTTAACAAACAAAGTTTGTGTCTGAAGCTAGCCCGCCTCATCTTGGCCAAGCGGGGAATAACTGACATTGCCGATAAGATGGGTTCAACCCATATTATAGACTAAACCCGACAGGGCAGGAGCTAGGATGTGCCAGAAGGGCGTAATGAAAGGATCTACTTCTAGCGCGGGCGCTGGCAAATTGGCGCGACAGGGAAGACCATCCTTCTTGAAACAAAGAATCATACAGCAATCAGGAATTAGCGCTCATTGGCGCTGTGACGTGATGTGAGCCGTGCGTAGGGACCGGTAAGCACTACCGCTTTTTTAAATTCTTTACTCCGGGGTAAAGCATCGAACCTGAACCCAAGGAGCGACTGTTGAAGAACTCAGAGATTTCATAAGTCCATTCCTGGACAGGATCAGAGCAGGAAATCATCATATTCTAGCTAGCACGTATTCTATTC